GTTTGAAGCTATCCAGCGTATTCGAGTTATTAAGTAAATTTGCTGATGACACTAAAATAAGGCGTGTAATTAAATCTGACGAGGACTCCGCTAAACTACAGGAAGATCTAAAAAAAAATTTCGAATGGTCTGAAAAATGGCAGATGAAATTCAATGTGGACAAGCGCAAGTACTTAGTATAGGAGATGTAAACAGGGAAACCAGATACCAGATGAACAACGATGTAATTGAGAAATCCGACTGCGAGAAAGATTTAGGAGTAATGACGAGTAGGAATCTTAAGCCAAGTAAACAATGTGTATTTGCTCGAAACAAGGCCAATAAAGTACTTGGGTTCATACAAAGGAGTGTTAGTTACAAGACTAGCGAGGTCATCCTAAAACTATATCTTGAGCTTGTGAGACCTCTCTTGGATTACGCAGTTCAATTCTGGTCACCGTATTACAGAATGGATATAGAATCCTTGGAAAGAATTCAGAGAATGACAAGACTAATCCCGGGCATTAGGAACCTTGAGTACAGAGACAGGTTAAAGCATCTTAATTTGCACTCCCTCGAGAGACGTAGAGTAAGGGGCGATATGATCGAGATGTATAAATGGAAGTCAGGGCTGAACAAAGGGGACATTACAAAGGTACTCAAACTATCCAACCAGGAGCGAACTCGTAACCATGGTTTTAAATTAGACAAATTTAGATTTAGGCGCGAAATAGGTAAACACTGGTTTGGAAACAGAGTAGTGGACGAGTGGAACAAGTTACCAAATAGCATCATTAACTCGATTACGCTGGATAGCTTCAAACATAGGTTGGATGGATATATAGCAATGACGATGTTTGGTAACTTGTTCCACTCATCCACTACTGAACTGCGTAATCCAAGTGAGGTCTCACACGCGCAAGATATAGTTTTAGGTCAGGATAACCTTGCTAGTCTTGTAACTAACACTCCTTTGTATGAACAAAAAGAAAGAAAAACACACGTAGTTACGTGCATTGATTGATTGAGTGTGGTAATTACATCCATGGGGACGCAACAGTTACTGTAGGTCATATGTCGCTGAATTAAAAGCTTACAAGACTAAAATCAATTAATGCAAAGGTAAAAAAACACAAAATAATGAGTAACATGAAACTCATAAATTAAAATCACTCGCATATGAGAACTGTAAACAACATCTCTTCATATCTTTACAACCAGACACGAGTTAACACAGGAAGAGTAACACTCCAACGTAACCTAGCTAGACATACCCAGGCTTACTTAACCTAACCTACCGTATCCAAATTCACTTCACCATACATACCGGTACCCAGGCTAACCTAACCCATCAAAATTAACCTAACTTAACCAGACATGTCCAGTCTTTTTTTTTTTTTTACACAACTTAACCTAACGTGGTGGTAACCCGTGTTTTGAGGGCCGGGGACATCATGAGGCATATACTCGTACAGTGTGTCCTTTGATAATACGGTGGTGGTGAGGGGCGGGAGAGAGAGAGAATGTCTACTACTTAAATGATAATTAAATGATAACACAAGATGCTGGCTCGTTAATATAATAAGTCCCCATGAACCACCCAACACATCTCGTATACCTGTCCCCCCCCTCTCTCCACACCTGGAATTAATTAATACGCGAGAGATGAGGTTCACTCCCCGTTCACTCCCCGAATTTATTTTTTTAATATTTGATTTGTTGTTTAAATTGATATTGAAACAGAAAAATTACAGATACAGAGATCGATTATAACAACATTATTGACATGGGTGAACCGAGTGAGAGTCTGAGTTAGGTTAGGTTATTGTTATTCGAAGACGTGTTGGTGGGAGATTGTGTTGACGAAGCTAGGGTGTTATAGATCCTTAATGGTGTGGTAGATTAATGGTTAGATTAGCTTGAGGTTAGATTAGATAAGCTTTAGGTTGGTTAATCTTTAAGGTGAAATAAACTAGGGTGTAGAATCTTCAGGTGATCCTTTGGGGGGGAGTGCTGGGGCTTTAACAACTAAGGCTATATCGGTAATCCTCTCACTTAACTGGAGGTTGTGGGAACACCATCTTCACTGGGTTATTTAAGCTACACCGCGAAGGTTGCATCCATAATGGGGTCGACAGTGTGCTGATGAGTGAGGGGTATATACTTGAACGCCGTGGCTTCGTGTGGACGGGGAAAAGTGAATAGCTTATGGGTTTTGGTGAATCAGGAGCCAGTCAACATGTGTGTGTGTGTGTGTGGAGAGAGAGAGAGAGAGAGAGAGAGAGAGAGAGAGATGCTCCCCCCCCTACATATCCCCCACCCCTCCCTAAACCACCTGTCGTCTCCTCTGCTTCTCTTCTTCCCCCCTCTTCTCCCCCTCTCTTCTCCCCCTCTCTTCCCCTCCTCTCTTCTTCCCCCCCCCTCTTTTTCCTTCTTCCCACTCCCACAAAGTTATTGTTTTAAGCTCCTCTGCTCCCCGCCCCAACAAGCTGTCGCTCCCTCCCACCTACACACGCACATCACCGTCACACACACACACCACACCACACACCCCCACACCTCACCTATCTTCTCTCCTTCTCTCTCCTCCTCTTCTCCTTCTCTCCTCTCTTCTCCTCCTCCTCCTTCTCCCCCGTGGCGTGAACTTGGGCCCAGATTCTCAGAAATTTATAGATGAAATTTTCCCCGTAACTGAAGATGTAAGAACGCGTCTAACTGGCTCACTTACGGAGGTCATTCTCGGGTTAAATCTGTCATCATGGTGCTGTATGTGGGTGTCTGGTGGGGGGATGTGTGTGTGGTGGGGGATGTGTGTGTCTGGGGGGATGTGTGTGTATAAAAGTTGATATATGTTGTATTTCTTGACCTGCCCCTCAAAATCAACTGGTCATATGTCATCTATGAACTTGTTGATTTTATCTAAATTTTTTAAGGGGGGTCATATTGTAGGTTCTCAGTTGGTTGGCTGGTCGTGGTATTTTGGTCCAATTGACACACCGTTACTGTCTCCTGTTGGCACACAAGGGGAGGGGGTAGGGGGGAGGAGGAGGAGGGTAAGTGGATGGAGGAGGGAGGGGTAAGTGGATGGAGGAGGAGGGATGGGGGTAAGTGGATGGAGGGAGGGATGGGGTAAGTGGATGGAGGGAGGGATGGGGTAGGGGTGAAAGTAGGACTCGGTCAATGTCAGCAAGATGGTGAGTGTGTGTGGGGGAGGGAGAAAGGTGTGTGGGACAGGGTACACGTACAGAAAGGGTCACAGGGGTCCGCCAGGTCAGAGAACAATATAGCTGCATGTGAGGGTATAGCGGTACACCACCACCTGTAGCTGCATGTGAGGGTATAGCGGTACACCACCACCTGTAGCTGCATGTGAGGGTATAGCGGTACACCACCACCTGTAGCTGCATGTGAGGGTATAGCGGTACACCACCACCTGTAGCTGCATGTGAGGGTATAGCGGTACACCACCACCTGTAGCTGCATGTGAGGGTATAGCGGTACACCACCACCTGTAGCTGCATGTGAGGGTATAGCGGTACACCACCACCTGTAGCTGCATGTGAGGGTATAGCGGTACACCACCACCTGGGCAGATTCTCACAAGTAAGATTTTTCAGTATATGTCTCACGTCACTAGAGACATATACTGAGAAAGAACGCGGACATATTGGCGTTGGTATTAAACCATTCTGCCCTCCTCAGTTACGGGGAAAAATCGACCTACTGTGCTAAGCTTTGAGAACGGAGACGTTAGTGAGTGTGTGGAAGCAGGAAGTAGGAACCCAAGATTACCTGGGATGTGGTGGTGGTAGTGTGAGGGCAGGGCGTCACTACCGGCCTTGTTAACAAGTAACCTGGCGCTGATTCCAGAGGTTCACCCCCAAGAGGGTGTAGGAGAAACGTCCCAGATGACTGATGCGTCGTGAGAACTAGCAGGATGTGTACCTATCTTAACACAACGCTGTTTTAATTCATCCAGCTCCCACACTTGTTTACGTTGGCTGATACTTCAGAGTATAATCTGAATTTCTATTAGTCCTGACTAGATTACTAAACCACCGAGGCGCTGTGTGAATATTAAAGCTCAAGTGTTGAGACACAAGTTAACTTGGTAATAAGTTTTGAATCTCAAACACTAACATTCCCTTATGCTTATCTTAAACCGCAGAGGTTGGTTGGTATTAATTATTGGTAGTGTACCTGCGGCAGTCGTCAGCGAGATCATGGGGGAGGGAGATAACACTGAACAGTAAGAACAGGTGAGGGCAGGTGACACCTTCACCTGGTGGTGTAAGCTGTCAGGTGTGTCCTCCCTCACGACGGCTTAACTCTGATATTTCGGGATACAATGTAATCTGCCGTGTTGCATTGTTGTTGCAAGCGAGGAGACAAGCCACTGTGCTGTATGATATGATTCACGTCTCTTGTGTTAACGCCATGGTGCAGGTTGGCCAGGTGGAATATTGCTTGAGCACGAGTGGTTGGCACACATAGGGTTAACGTGATGTTCCCTGTGGCAAAATTTAAATGGAAGTTCATATCTCTGGATAGGATGACGCGTCACGGTGGTAGTGTCAAGGTGATAAGATCTAGAAGAATATTTTCATGCAAGCTGTTGTGCAGCTTGTTATCCGCTTTTGTCTCCATTATTGTACGGATGGAGACGTTTTTTTTCCTGTCGTTTGTTTTAGTTTCCGTGCACCAACTTGAATTATCTCTGGTCGTCTCTTTAGGTTTTAGAAAATATCACAATTATCAAGACACAGGTGAAAGACATCACCTCCCTCCAGCGACTACTGTACTCTACTCCAGACACTCTTAACTGACTATCTGATCTTAAACAAATTTGGTGGACGTGCATCTAAGATTAGGGTTGACGTCGGGAGCCCCTCGAGGCCCACAACTTTATTCATTACTCTGTGTGAATCATGGGTAATAAAAAGAGAGTTTTGTGTGTTAAACTGGAGGCTCCCGTGCAGAGGGCATCCCGTGTACGAGGTGAGGAACACGTATCAAGAGTCTCAACCCCATGCATAAACACACTCCTGTACACCGGGCGCTCGTGCTTCACCCCACCCAGTAATGTGCTTGATCAAGTTGGGTTTACTGGCTGGTGGCTTGTTGGGTTTACTGGCTGGTGGCTTGTTGGGTTTAATGCCTGGTGGCTTGTTGGGTTTAATGCCTGGTGGCTTGTTGGGTTTAATGCCTGGTGGCTTGTTGGGTTTACTGGCTGGTGGCTTGTTGGGTTTACTGGCTGGTGGCTTGTTGGGTTTACTGGCTGGTGGCTTGCTGGGTTTACTGGCTGGTGGCTTGCTGGGTTTACTGGCTGGTGGCTTGTTGGGTTTACTGGCTGGTGGCTTGTTGGTTTTACTGGCTAAGTGGCTTGTGGTTTACTGGCTGGTGCTGCTTGCTGGCTGTTTTACTGGCTGGTGGCTTGTTGGGTTTACTGGCTGGTGGCTTGCTGGGTTTACTGGCTGGTGGCTTGCTGGGTTTACTGGCTGGTGGCTTGTTGGGGTTTACTGGCTGGTGGCTTGTTGGTTTTACTGGCTGGTGGCTTGTTGGTTTTACTGGCTGGTGGCTGGCTGCTGGGGTTTACTGGCTGGTGGCTTGTTGGGTTTACTGGCTGGTGGCTTGTTGGTTTTACTGGCTGGTGGCTTGTTGGTTTTACTGGCTGGTGGCGCCTTTGGGAGACTGTGTGGTATTTTCCGTTATGTTACTAAAACACCCATCTCACGGTCATAGTTCCCAGAAAGACTTTAAATCCTCACTAGATCTACTTCACCTTCCTTTCCTTGTGAGGCGTGAGGGGTGGTGTTGCCTCTTTGCTCTGGTTACTGGGATTGTGTTAGGTACCAGCAGGTGGCATGATGGACGAGGCTGGGAGGGTCGCCCACGAGTTGAGATATGCAGGACGCGCGCCCCAACTCCCCAGCGCAACTCCAAGCTGGATATGACAACTAGTTTGGTGGGGGGGTGGTAAGTGGCGGGGTTAGTAGTGGGTTGGTAAGTGGCAGGATGGTAGTGGGGTAGTGGTGGTAGAATGGTAGTGGTGATTGTTAATGGTGGTTAGGTGGTAGTGGAGGTTGAACATTAACAACCCGAGGAGAGATGTGGTAATTGGTCTTTGTTCGTCCCTGTATGAACGAGCGAACTACAGTATATCCCCAATGAAAACAAAAGTCCTCACGTGAAGAACAGGCACCCTAGCTTATTTCACCTGATGATTTAACACCCTAATGCAACCCTAACCTAATCTATAGACCACCCTCCAGGTAGCGTTAGTGTGTTTAATAACTTTAATCCATTGGTGCAAATAAGCTAGGGTGACTAATCTTCATGTCCGGGATGTTGTTTTACGTTGGGGAGATACGTCTTGGTGATGCAATATTGAGGTGGCCAGGGTAGACTCTTCTCTCCCTCCCGCCCTTCACCTCAACACAACACTCCTCCATCTTTTTCTCGGTTAGATCTGAAGCACACGAACCGAACCCCCGAGCCGAACCCCCGAACCGAACCCCCGAGCCGAACCCCCGAACCGAACCTCCGAATAGTGAAACCCCGATTATTCTAGTGGTTTTATATTTTTTAGATGGTGACTAATACTATATTCCTTACATATCAGAATTTACCCTTATTTTTTTAGTTTTTTCTTACATTCCGTTATTTTCCCTGCGTCTAATATGTGAATGTATTTATTTATTAATTGATCTAAATAGGTAAACATAAGTGGATTTTTATCTCCCAGAATAAAAAAAAAATCTAGTTGCCATAAGATGTATAAACAAAGTAATCCGTACTTTTAAGACACTAGAAAATGACATGTGTCATGGGTTGCGTTAGGCTTACCCACGCAACCAACTCCAAAGTTTGTTTTACCAGAGATAAGACGCCCAGCTAGGCATAACTGGGACATGTATTTTCAATTAGTGTATGTTAGCCTGCCTTTAGGGGGGTGGGTAGTGAAACAGTGTTGTACTGTTCATCGCTTCACACCCAAAAACCTCATTTTAAGTAGTATCCCCTGAGCCATGGCTTAGTTAAGAAGTCGTCTTGACTCTCTCCCTCCTGAAAGGGAGCGGGACACTGCACCACACAGAGTCCTCCACCGCCACTCCGTCCTGTGAACCGTGATCGACACGAGACTAAGTGTGTTAACCTAGGTTGTTATCCCCGTGGAAATATCACGTGTGGATGCCTGGTTGCGACAAGAGCAATCCAGGCTGGCCTATCAAACCTACAGTAAATGGTTAATTAATTCACGCTTATAGAGTTCTCCTGCACGACACCCGTCTACAGTGACTGTCAGTGACGCGAGACTATGTGTGGTAACCCAAAAGTACCTTTTGTTGTTATTGCCGTGTAAAGAAGTTCTTGTGATGAAGCCTGGTTGTAACAGAAGCAATCCAGGCTGGCAGTAAATGAATCACTTGAAGAATTAAGGCTCTGTTAAGTCATGCCCACAGTAGAGTAATCACATGTGTCCCCAAATTGAAAATTCTTTTTTAGAAGATTAATTTTATTACAGCGTGAACGTGAGTGAATCATATATCCATGCAAATTGTAAATCATTGTATGGAAGCTTGAGAAATAAATGTAAGTGCAATTATCTGCCCGTATCTGTGATCCTATCTTATTATTACTAAAGGTAATGACTGATTGGTTATGACAAAGTATAACCAATAACTGAGATAGGTGTTGAAAATTAATGGAATTCATTAAATCATCATTTATCAAGTATAAATCATGGAATGTCGAGTGGTGGAGTGAACTTCTACGTAGATACGCCATAATCTCCTGTAAGTAACCAGTGTGAAGGTATCGAACTCTACGGTAAGAAATACGACATATTATTATCTTTATATAATAAAATCCACTCATACTACCACCGACACACCTAAAACCATGACAATTGGCGCCCGAACAGGGACACAGACCGCGGATAATTGCACTCTTGTCAGCAGTTTGTGCAAACGCGTATATTGTACTACGAAATGATTACTAGTACATTTGAGGGGACTCTACGAAACTTTGAATGTGAAGTTAAAGGTGGAAAATAAAGAAACAGAAGAGGACTTGTGATGTTTGCCAGAACCAGCGACGGAGGGCGGGTTCTACCTGCACCCCTGTGGCCTCTCACAGTGATCCCCGAACCCTTGAGAGGGTGGCGGCGGACATTGTGGTCAGCAAACCCAGTTCCACATCAGCCTCCTGATTAGAAACTAGAAAATGACATAATTATATAGCCACATAGTATACAACACCCGTTCTTTACTCATCAGATTGATGACGTTCTTTACTCGCCAAATTGATGACGTTCTTTACTCGCCAAATTGATGATGTTCTTTACTCGCCAGATTGATGACGTTCTTTACTCGCCAGATTGATGACGTTCTTTACTCGCCAGATTGATGACGTTCTTTACTCGCCAAATTGATGATGACGTTCTTTACTCGCCAGATTGATGACGTTCTTTACTCGCCAGATTGATGACGTTCTTTACTCGCCAGATTGATGACGTTCTTTACTCGCCAGATTGATGACGTTCTTTACTCGCCAGATTGATGACGTTCTTTACTCGCCAAATTGATGACGTTCTTTACTCGCCAGATTGATCACGTTCCCCCTCCCCTCCTCCCCCTTCCTCTTCTTTCTTCTCCCCTTCTTTCCCCTCCTCTTCTGTCCTTTTCCGTCTCTCTTCCCCCTTCCTCGCTTCCTTTTCTCTCCCCTGTACACTGGTGGTCGGCCATGAACTGATTCTGAGCACCGTTGCCTGAGGTGGGTGTCTCCAGGCTCTCTGCAGCTCACAAAAGATTTCATTTTCTTGATTGCGTTGTTGTCTTGTGCGGTTCTGACGTTAGTACTGTATACAACCTCATGTCGTCACCAAGGTCTACATAATACTCGACCTTGGTGTAGACGAGTTGATGTGTGCGCGAGAAGCCAATGTGGAGCTACACGCGAACTTCTTGTTTACACGAAAATCTCGTGTATACATCAGCACCCAGTCCACATGTATACACCAGCACCCCATGTATAAACCAGCACCCCATGTATAAACCAGCACCCCATGTATAATCCAGCACCCCATGTATAAACCAGCACCCCATGTATAATCCAGCACTCCATGTATAAACCAGGACCCCATGTATAAACCAGCACCCCATGTATAAACCAGCACCCCATGTATAAACCAGACCCCATGTATAAAACCAGCACCCCATGGTATAAACCAGCACCCCATGTATAAACCAGCACTCCATGTATAAAACCAGCACCCCATGTATAAAAACCAGCACCCCATGTATAAACCACAGCACCCCATGTATGCTAGCACCCCATATGTATACACCAGCACCCCATGTATAAACCAGCACCCCATGTATAAACCAGCACCCCATGTATAAACCAGCACCCCATGTATAAAAAACCAGCACCCCATGACAAACCAGACCCCATGTATAAACCAGCACCCCATGTATAAACCAGCACCCCATGTATAAACCAGCACCCCATGTATATCCAGCACCATGTATAAACCAGCACCCCATGTATAATCCAGCACCCATGTATAAACCAGACCCCATGTATAAACCAGCACCCCATGTATAAAAACCAGCACCCCATGTATAAAACCAGCACCCCATGTATAAACCAGCACCCCATGTATAAACCAGCACCCTATGTATAAACCAGCACCCCATGTATACACCAGCACGTCTCAGTTATATACGGTACCAAAAGAAACGCGCTCGGTTCATCACCAATTACAGTAAGATCCTATAGTATACAGGGCTGAGTGCTTGTGTCTCAAGGAGGTCTTACCAAAATACTCCTGTTTAACCCCCCCACTCCCTCCCCACACCACTCCCCCAACCTCCGCTCTCCCCACACCACTCCCCCAACCTCCGCCCTCCCCACATTTTCTCCCCCTCCCCACACCCCCTCCCCCTCCCCACACCTCTCCCCCTCCCCCACACCTCTGACCCCAAAGCTGCAAATTGTGTATTCATGAAGTTGGGCGCTCTCTCAGGACTACACCGCCATACCCCGTCAGAGGCGTTCAGCACCGTCCCGGGGAAGTTCTTGGCTCCTGAGTTTAATCGTCTCTTGGCCCGGAGGAAATAGTTTAGGGGTGAACTTGGCGCCGGAACACAATGGGAGAGAGACATTGGTAATTGAATCAAGGGATGGGTGGTGGTGATGGTGGTGGGGGTCCTCGGTTCCTTCCCATTGAGGACTGATAAAGAGGATTGGCATCATGGGATTAGGTCTTATGGATTACCTGAAGATTAGACACCCCACCCCTCCCCTCCCTCCCCTCCCCTCCCACCCCTCCAGTCGAAGTATATATAGCATCCTTACTCATAGCCACGTGAGATAAAGACTATTGAAGAGGAACTTAAGGGGCGAGATTAAATGTCTGGGTGTAGATCACTCTTGGCGACAGAGGGACTCAAGTCGTAGCTAAGGTTGTGAGGGGAGGAGGAAGAGATGGTGCCTTGGTGGTGGTGACGCTTGTACCGTGACCTGTGTGTGTGTGTGTGTGTGTGTGTGTGTGTGTCACTTGTAAGTAACACATGTTGGGATTGATTATCTTTGGCCATAATTGACACACAGATTCTACCTGTTCTCTACCCAGTGTCATGTATCCAATCTTCACGTGTCTCCTTAACCCCCGGTGTTGTGTTAAGGTGGTTTATGTGGTGGTGATTTAAGGTAACGGCGATGAGGACTACTGTACTGGGATCACATGAACATTAGCCCCCCCCCCCACCCCCACACACACTAGCTTATTTCACCTCATGATTTAACACCCTAACGCGACCTTGGGGGGTTAGGTTGGGTTTGCGTTAGGTTGGGTAGTGTTGGGGTGCTGTTTATGATAGTATCTAATAGTAACTGCCTATTGGTCATATATATATAGCTAGTTGGCTAATAGCTTATGGACACTGCTCTCTGTCTGAATAACAGGATAAAAAGGCGATCTGTAATATAAGGAAAAAATTGAGTGGATGGATATTAAAACTCCTTAGTCAAGTTTGCCGACGCGACGCGGTGGTGTAGTGACCTGGAGACTGCCGTGAGTCAGGTCATTTAGGAAGTAGTTCAAGGAGTAAAAGTCATGACACGGTATAGGAGATAACCTGATGATTAGGCACCCCAGTATATACAGTAGGTCAAGGAAACGCTGGTGGATTGTGGGGAAGGTGTCGTGAGCCAAGGCGTCTTGTATTGATCTGACAACGAAAGTGATTTTTTTTAATTAACGTATTTTTAAGTAACGTGTTTTTAGTAACGGATTTAAGTTACGTATTTTCAAAGTTGCGTATTTTTTAAGTTACGTATTTTTTAAAGTTACGTATTTTTAAGTTATGTTTTTTAAAGTAACGTAATTTTAAAATCATGTATTTTTTAAATAACGTATTTTTTAGAGTAACGTATTTTTTAAGTTACGTATTTTCTAAGTAACGTAACTTTTTTTAAGTAACGCACTTCTACATCTGCAATATACACACACACACACACACACACACACACACACACACACACACACACACACACACACTATTCACCTTCGTTGTGTGAATTTACGAAAAAGAAATGATCAAGGGAAGATTAATGACAATGATAGAGAGAGAGTCTTAGCGTGTTGATAAAGCAGTAACAGCAGGTGTCTCATGGGCAGTTAGCGGCCATCACCCCCCGGGACAACTGACGCCTCTGCTCACACAAGATGAAAGTTATAACAGCACATTGAGGTTACTGCACATCCTCATCCACTCCCTCTACAGTGTGTAAACCATCCACTCCCTCTACAGTGTGTAAACCATCCACTCCCTCTACAGTGTGTAAACCATCCACTCCCTCTACAGTGTGTAAACCATCCTCACCCTCTACAGTGTGTAAACCATCCTCACCCTCTACAGTGTGTAAACCGTCACTACAGAACAAGACTGCGGTTCATCAGTAGTGATATTAGCCGCAGATTACTTCCTGAGAACTGTAAACAACTCGTGATCAAAATTATTTCCTTGTTGGCTGGATAATTGTATACCTGAGGGTTACAAGTAGTGGTGGTGGTGGTAATTATTGTAATGGTGGTGGTGGCATTGTGGTAGTCGTAGTGGTGGTAGTTTCATTGTGGTCGTTGTGGCTTTGTGGTAGTAGTAGTGGTTGTTGTGGTGGCTTGCGGTAGTCGTGGTGGTGGCATTGTGGTAGTGGCGGCATTGTGGTAGTGGTGGCATTGTGGTAGTGGTGGCATTGTGGTAGTGGTGGCATTGTGGTGGTGATAGTTCCTGGCTCTCTCTCTCGTCTCCTCTTGGACACCTTCCAATATATCGTGTCCTTACAGTCGAACTTGGAACATTCTTGACTGTTTAAGCCTCCATCCACATCCCTTGCACATCCTCCATCCACATCCCTCAAACCCATCATGCCTTCATCCACATCCCTTCCACACCTTGTAGTCTTCCACACCTTGTAGTCCTCCACACCTTGTAGTCTCACGCACCTTGTAGTCTTCCACACCTTGTAGTCCTCCACACCTTGTAGTCTAACGCACACCTTTCATGGTTTATTCCTACCACATCTAGACGGTGGATTTGCCTCCCAGTCCACGCCTTCCGTGTTTACAACTGGCAGCTTTTCAGACACGAGGCTCACAAACACCTGCTAACGTCGTCCACAAATTAATATTCGTCTCCCGCCAGGTGCAAGGCAAGCCCGGCCCAGCATGACTAGTGGGCACCGTGTAGGTATTGGACTCGGTTAGCTGGGGGAGTGTGTGGTGCTACTGTAAACAAAAAGAGAGATTTATCATACACTAAACAAAAGAATCACTTGGTTGTTGTGGTCTGTCGGATAGTCTTTTAAATGCAATTATTTGGTGGTGTGAGTTGGAGGTAAATATTATCATGGGTGGGGGGGGGGTGTTAAGCCTCGTATATAGGTAAATGTCATAGGTAAAGTACATACGTAATCATCATAGGTAAATGTCATAGGTAAGTGTAGTGGTTGTGTAGTGTAGTGTGCAGTATAGTGAGAGACGGGACAGTTATCACCATGAAGAAGGCAAGTGTACTGTAGTGGTGAGGAGCCAATTCAGACCCACGGGGACTGTCAATTCCAACCCACGGTGACTGTCAACTCCAACCCACGGTGACGTCACAAGGCCAACCCTGCTTGGTTACCGTATTGCTCGCCAGACAGAAATAAAAACTAAATAAAATAAAATGTTACCTGACTCACAAGGTCTTCACTACCAGACACTGGATAAAAGTAGCCTCACGCGCCACCACCCGAGTATTGACTGTGATTATTATTATTATTATTACCTTATTATTATTATTATTATTATTATTATTATTATTATTATTATTATTATTATTATTATTATTATTACCTTATTATTTATTTTTATTTATTATTATTTTTATTATTATTATTTTTTTTTTAATTTTGGTCACTTGGTTATTAATGATCAAGGTAGTTGGTGGTGTTGGGGGTCGGTGGTGGTGGTGTTGGGGGTCGGTGGTGGTGGTGTTGGGGGGTCGGTGGTGGTGGTGTTGGGGGGTCGGTGGTAGAAAAAGTTGGGGGTCGGTGGTAGTGTTGGGGGTCGATGGTGGTGGTGTTCGGGGTCGGTGGTGGTGTTGGAGGTCGGTGGTGTTGTCCAAAAATTATTGGGAAATTAATTATGTTAGCTAGAAGTGTTGGCCTGAAGGTTGTGTGTCTTGTTGTTGTTACTGTATTATTATTTTGATGTTATTTGTATATTATTATTATTGTCATCATTGTCTCATTATTTTATTATTATTGTTAAAGTATTTTAAGTAATCTTGTTATCGACGGGTATCTAATGCAGGTTTGTGGCCCATTTTCCTGTTATATCATGACAGTCGTTTAAAAGTGAAGTGTTATTTTGTCCCGTTCGCCGTGGTCCCCCCCCCCCCTCCATCACGTCATAAAGTGCCACTGTCCCTGGCTGTCGTCACCGCCGATATACATATATCCCGGATGACCTTCACTTGTGTGCACACGTCTGTACTTCCTTAGTTCTGGTAATACAGCTCAACCTTGTCTATTATGGTTTTTATGTTGCAAAGATTAAGGGATACAGATAGGTGTTGCTGTTTTGTGTCTGTCTGTCGTGTTTTAGTGTCCGATACAGAACTTCTGAACATTTTAGAGGAGTTAAATTGAAAATACTCATGAATTTGTATTATGTTATGGGATGTGTCGTGTACTAAAATTTGAGAGGTGGCGTCAATCTCCGTCCACCGAGGGAGCCAAGATCAACTGGTTCGTGTGTTTCTACTCATTCCTTACGTGTTGTTGTGTTATTAATGGCCGGAATAATTAATGTTTTGGTTTAGTGTATTTCTGGTGTAATACTTAGGATGTGTGGCCGTGAATATCAAAGTTAGTACATTTTTTACAATTAGTAATTTTAGCACTAAATTAATGATATACGTGGTTGTATACACATGCAGTATAGCCGACACGTACACAACATCCTGGTGTGCGGGGGACTTAAGGCAAAATAATCCAGAGTCCATATATTCACCCAATCTCCTGCGGATCAAGATTATAAAATTTTAAGAAAATCTCGATCCTATTGGAAACCTTTAACCCTTCACCGGGCAGGGGCTCCCCTCAGATGAATAAAATCGTCAGGCGTTAGCCAGAATAAAATTCCTGGGGGATACTTTTTCCTCTAAAGGGTGAAAGATGTTAGCTATGAGGATGATTATAACGTGAGTGATGAGGACGATTACTGTGAAGACGGCGGCTGACTAGAACACGTCAGGTGAGGGTTTAGGTGTATTTGGGCGGCAAGTGGTCGTGATGGTGACGCTACACCCACGGATCATCTCTATCTACCACATATGAGAACATGATGGTGCATGTTGAGCCTGGGAGTGCGGTGACCATTGATGATGTCAACATCTGGGAATGTGATCAAGGGTGAGTGCCGTGTAATGGTGCCTCAAGGTAAAGGTGACTGGCACCTCGGTGGCCATGACGACCGTCAACTGGGAGGAGAGGTAGTCCAAGTGACAGTATGGATGATGGTCGGGAGAATGTATTGAGAGGTGTTGTGTGTTTGTGATGGATCTGAAGGCTTGCTGATTATGATAGTGTGGCTGTGGGTTGTGTGTGGTGGTTTGAT